TCTTTTTTTCTCATGCAAATTGACTTTGATTTGGAAAGAACTGTGACAGAGCTCTGGGGTGGGGCCTCCGATCTTAATGACCACATTTGCATATCAATGGCCTCACTTCATTTGCTGCCTCCCCCACCCTCAGAGCTTAGATGGCTCAAGACAGAATGGAAAGAAGGGAGAAATGGTGGTTGTTCTTCCTTTTTAAAAAGTTTAAATATAGGAACTGCTTTGAAATAAAAGTTTTCCCATGTACTTTTGAAGTTAGACTAAGCAGATAAAATAGATATTTTATCAAACTTACTATGAACAAAAAGGGGCCACATACTAAACCTGATAAGCTCAGGGAGGCCTGCATGGAGGCAAACTCAGAGACCTAAAATAACCACAAAGGATGCTCTGAAATTAAAACTTTTTAACTAAAAGCAGTTTATGGTCGGTAGTCAAGTCCTAGGCTGTAATATTCCCTGATAAAAGTCAATCTTTACCTTAACTAAGGCTGTCTATTGTCTTTTTGCATCTACAATAACATACTGTTAGGCCCAGATTTCAAGATCCCCATTAGACCATACCAGGGAGCCAGCCAAGTCCGATGCAAAAGCAAAGAGTCCTTTATTATCAAACCCAGGTTTGGCTCTCAGCCTCCACCAACGCACGGCGAGACGAGAGTGCCCGCCCCGTGGGAAAAAATTGGGTTTTATAGGGGGGTGGAGTTAGGGGAGGAGAGATGACTGTGGGCCCTGCTGATTGGCCAGGTGCAATTCGGGTCTTGTTACACAGGATGTGGTCATATCTATGGCACGCACGTCCCTTGATTGTTTAGTTTAAAATCCTGGGCGTGGCTAGCAGAGGCTTGGGCTTCCAGGAAGAAGGTACTTTCCTAAGCACATGGCTGCTGCCCCAACATGGAGGATACAGGGCAAGATGGAGGGCATAGCCCTCGCCCTTTCAATACCTTTGGGATGTCAAAGTAATTTCCTTTTTCCAGACCCCTGAAAGCACAGGTGTTGTAGTAAAATATAGAAATGTTTAAAATGCTTAAAGAATGTTAGAAAAGTTTTAAAATGTTTAAGATAACTTTCCTTAAAACTTAAAGTATAATATTAATGACACATTCCCCACTGCCTTGAAGCATGTGTACCCCAGAGATAAGGATTTGAACTGACAAAGAGTGACTTGTCAAGATAAACACTTGTGTGAGTGATGTACTCTCCTTTGCCCCCTCGCTGTGTTTGAGATTAACATATGTGCATTGACATAAATCATTGATAGCCACCTGAGCTGCTACGGGTACGTACAAGCTTTAAATATGGACCCCGGCCAGCTAACGATGCTCGCCTGTCAAGACAGCTACAAAGGCCCGTCCCTTTGTCGGTCTGACAAGCAACGCTGCTCCATGCTCCTCTCCCTGCCAGACGACAGAAGAACGGTTAACAACCCCGATTGAGACTCGGCCGAGCTCTTGGGTGAGGAACGCCGGCCCCCTGCACCCAGACCAGACCAGCCTAACTGCCAGACCCCAGAGGACAGCACCATGGGGATCCCTAACTAAGTTTGTACCCACAGCTCAGGAATTTGTGTGAGTAATAAAAAAGCTGTGTGATTTGCAACTGCATATGTTTCATGAAGTGTAATTCCTCCGGCAGTTAATTGAATTTATTTGCATACGCTTAAAAGTTAAATTAAAGCTTCTGGTCTCTTTTTGGTTCTAAAGCCTACCACTCTGGTCCTGCTTGTGTAAGAGCAGACTCTTCGCTAGCAACTGCTTGAATGTCCCACACCTGCATGGTTAAAGTTTATCTCAAGGGACGTCTTAGATCAGGGGTCCTCAAACTTTTTAAACAGGGGGCCAGTTCACTGTCCCTCAGACCGTTGGAGGGCCGGACTATAGTTTAAAAAAAAACTATGAACAAATTCCTATGCACACTGCACATATCTTATTTTGAAGTAAAAAAACAAAACGGGAACAAATACAATATCTGTATTTGCATGTGGCCTGCGGGCCCGTAGTTTGAGGACCCCTGCCTTAGATAAACACCCCAGATCCTTTCCCAGGATCTACTTAGGACAACAGGCACCACTCTGCTGAGACCACAAAACCCCCATTGCTACGAGTTGTTGACTGTTAACTATCCTATACCCACCTCGGTAAAAGAAGTGTGTCTATCATTTTACAATCCCAGAGCTTTCCCCACTTTGCTTTCTCCCACCTCTCTAGTCTATCACCAATGGATTTCATGTAACCCACTTACATTTCCTCTTTTGATTTGTAATGTATAAAAATAAAGTGCAAAACTGCCATCCTCTGGAGCATTTTCTCAATCTGTTGAGACTTTGCTTCAATTGTAGTGAGTTTGGCTCAAATATACAAAAATTCTCTACAGGTTTTAATGTTTCTTTTGTTGACATTACCAAGACTACAAAACCTCTGAGACCCCTTTGAGATGAAAATAACAACTGGGGAAAAGGTCTGAGGTGGAGATGGACATGTGAGATCCCGCTAAGCCTTGGGTGGGGCTTGAATGAGATGATGTCAAAAGAGTGAGAAGAGGAGCTGTGGGAAATTCCAGCATCCTGCTCTGTAAAATTGTCTCCACCACACGCAAGCCCTTGGCCCAAGCAGTTTGTCCACATGCCATGTACCTTCATGCCATGGGTACCTCACTCTTGATGTACTTTTTTCCCTTTTCCAATCCAAACCTTTCATTAATGTATCATCTATGTAGTTTGAATTCTTGTCAAACATATATAATCTGAATCTAATAATGAGGGAACAATCAGACAAATCCAGATCAAGAAAATATACAAGACAAGTACCCTGGCCCCTTCAAAGGTGTCAACGATGAACGACAGGAAAATATAATAAATCAAGGGGACAGTTCTAGAATCTAGATTAAAAGCGATGAGAAAACATGACAATCAAAGGCAATGAGTGATCCTTGATTAGATTATAAAGGATATTTTGAAGACAATTGGGAAAACTTAAATATGGCATATTAAAGAATATTTATTGACTCAAGGCTAAATGCCTTAGATGTGATCAGGATATTGGGGTTATGTAGGAGAAGTCCTGATCCTCAGGAAGTAAATGCTGAAGTGTTTAAAAGAATGACATGTCTGCAACTTTCAAATGGTTCAGGAAAAAAATTTTTTATATACATAAAAAGAGAGAGAAATAAAAAAAATATTGGAATATGTTAACAAACTGTAGACTAAGTGATGGGGTTATATGAGTGTTCATTGTACTACTCTTATAAGTTTTCTTTAAGGTTTAAATTTCTCAAAATAATTAGTAAAACTGCAATGGACCAACCTTTTTTTTTTTTTTTAGACCAAATTTCTAACTAGCCAGAGTTAGGTCAAACGTCACAGGTTAAGGGTAAAGCCCTCCATAAGACTGCCTTTACTTCAAACACCAGCCACAAGTCTGGGGGTCTTCAGGCCACCCACATGTCTGACCAGATGGCTATAAATACTGAAGTTCCCACTACCCCCTCAGATTCTGTATTTACTTGAATGACTCCCAGGAGAGTGCTGTAATTACAATCACAGTTTTGGTTGTGTGTGTGTGTGTGTGTGTGTGTGTGTGTGTGTGTGTGTGTTTATATATGTTCTTACTGATTTCACAAAGAGGGAGAGAATCACTGATCAGCTGCCTCCTGCACACCACCTACTGAGAATCAAGCCCCCAACCCCGGCATGTGCCCTGTCCTGTGTCCTGACCGGAATCAAACTGTGACCTCCTGGTTCATGGGTCAACCACTGAGCAACACCAGCCAGGCTACAATTACAGTTTTATATAGTGAAAGAATACAAATCAGAACCAGCCAAAGGCAGAAACACTCAGAACAAAATGTCGGAAGGTCCCAAGTACAAAATTTTCATTGTTCTATCCACAACCTGTTACCCTCTCCTCATGCTGATGTGTGACAATACAGAGTACTGAAACAGAGAAGTTCACCCAAGCTCCTGTGTCCCTAGTTTTTACTGAGGTCTCATTACATAGCATGATTGGTTGAATCATTGGCCACACCCCTTCTCTTTTCCCCAGAGGTCTCCTCACACCGTTGGTCTTTCTCAGAGTGGCCAGTACCCATCCTGACTCATCTCATTAGCATAAACTCTCAGGACCCACCATAAATAGCAAAGACACACTTATCATTCAGAATATTCCAAGGGTTTACTGGTTACCTCCCAGGAACCAGGGACCAAGGCCAGCCACATTCTTTATTACACAGAAATAAGACAAAATAAATTTTCAAACACAAATTTTAAAAAACATCTTTCATCAAGAACCATAGTAAGGAGGCCTAGAGCATTTGAATCAAAAACTACCAGACTCCAGGGACACTGTCTCAACTCCATACAGCCTCCAACAGCACACTGCATCTTGAGTTTAAAGAGGCCACTTAGCCCTAACCAGTTTGGCTCAGTGGATAGAGCATCAGCCTGCAGACTCAAGGGTCCCAGGTTCGATTCTGGTCAAGGGCATGTACCTTGGTTTCGGGCACATCCCCAGTAGGGAGTGTGCCGGAGGCAGCTGATCGATGTTTCTCTCTCATCGATGTTTCTAACTCTCTATCCCTCTCCCTTCCTCTCTGTAAAAAATCAATAAAATATATTTAAAAAATAAAATAAAGAGGCCACTTAGATCTCTCAACAGTTCCCATTTCAAAGGCATTAGGATAAGTCATTTCACTCACTGCAGCAGGTCAGGGCAAACAGTAAATACACAGTTGTGTAGGAGTGAAGAATAGAAGAAAATAATTTACATTTGCTGTCCAATACTTCCCAATTCAATTTAATATGCCAAATTCTTATGATAATCACAGTATATGTTACTTTAATCAAATCAGATCCTTCTAACTCTCCAACTCAAACAGGGAGGAAGTCAGGCTTCCACGAGCAGTGCGGAAAATCACTGTATAATTGTAAATTAGAACCGCAATCAGCCCTCTGGCCCCTGGGCCTTCTTCATCAGTAGGCTGAGAACCAAAGTGACTTACTGTGAACGTATCCGCAGAAGAGCTCCAGGCACAGGACCGAGAAATGCATTGTTCCCAGACCTCGTTGAAAGAATAGCAGGGAGAAATGTTCATGAAAAATGAAGAGCGGAGGCTTGTTATCCAGTAAACAGAGGCTCTGGAAGCATCAATTTTCTCTCTGCAACTAATTTGTTTTTAAATATGAAAATGATACATGAGTAGTAAAAAAAAAAATAAAAGTTCAACAGTAAAAATGTGTAAGAGGATGTGTTACACTTAAACACTTAAAACATTTAACAACTCTGTCAAAAAGGGCACAGACCAATTAGAACAGATTCCAGCAACTGACCTGCTCTGGACACACAACAAAAAAAGAAGTTTCTCACCCGAGACTTCCTGCCGCACTCCCCAGAGGTAGCCACTGTTCATTTCTTAGGACTTGGTCTAGAAATGTTTTATGCCTCTACCAGCATATCTGTGGACTTAGACATCCTTTCTTGTGTAGCCCTGTTTTTGAGCCATACTGTTATATTGCATCCTTTTTTAACAATGTATCTTACAATCTTTCTGCATTTGCACAGGTGGAGCTACCTCATTTTTGAGAAGCTGGAGCGGTGCTACTCAAAAATGTGATCTGTGTACCAGCGCTAGTCTGGGAGCTGACTCCAGCTCCATCTCTACCAGCAGACTGGTAGCCAACAGCAGACTGCCTACTTTGAGCGGCACTGCAATAGCGTAGATACCCACAAGTTATTTAACCAATCCCCCTCTTTTGTTGTTGCTGCTGTTAATCCTCACCAGAGGATATTTTTCCACTGATTTTTAGGGAGCGTGGAAGAGAGAAGGAAAGACAGAGAGAAACATCGATGTGAAAGAAACACATCGATTGGTTGCCTCCTGCACAAGCCCTGACCAGGGCCCGGGCCAGGGAGGATCCTGCAACCACGGTCGTGCCCTTGACCAGAATCGAATCCAGGACCCTTTGGTCGGCAGGCCAACGCTCTATCCATCGAGCCAAACCAGCTAGGGCTCAATGCCCCTCTTGATGTACACTTAGGTTCCTGCAGGTGAGCATTCTGGTATGTGGTTGGGAGAGTATTTCTATAGGATAGATTCCCAGGAGTGGAATCAAGGGTTGTGCAATTGATGACAAAGCTGATCATGATGGTGCCAGTGGTTAGAAACCTCAGAGAGCACTAGTCCAACTCCTGTATTTCATTGATGATAACAGTGAAACCAGAAAGGTTAGAGCAACGTCCAAAGTCAAACAGGTCTGTGGCATTAGTAGTAATGGCCCAACTCCCCTAAAAGGCACTGGGTGTCAGTGGAGTAACAACCTGGACAAGCACCTTAGAGTCCAAGGGAAGGAGGTTGATGCATACACTTACCCCACTAAATGAGTCTATCTTCAAGGTCAGCATAAATTGGAACAATTAAGAGTATCTCAGAGGTCCTGGTTGGTGTTGCTACACGGTTAGAGCGTCAGCTCATGCATGCAAGGGTTGTGGGTTCAATTCCCAGGCAAGGACAGATACCTGGGTTGCAGGTTCAATCCCTGGCCCTGGTCTGGTACATTCAGGAGGCAACCAATCCATGTGTCTCTCTCACCTCAATGTTTCTCTCTCTCTCCCTCCCCCTCCTTTCCACTCTCTCTAAAAATCAATGGGAAAATATTCTGGGGTGAGGATTAACAAACAAACAAAAAAGGAGTATCTCGGAGGCACCACAGGGCCTGGTCAGCAAGAAATCCAGGTCATGTTTCCACGGGTATTGCTAGGCCTCCTAGGAAGGCTAGTGTAGGAGACTGAGGAGCACACTGCTTGGGGCTGATTTAAGCCAGCCCATAGAGCAGTGGTTCTCAACCTTCTGGCCCTTTAAATATAGTTCCTCATGTTGTGACCCAACCATAACATTATTTTCGTTGCTACTTCATAACTGTAATGTTGCTACTGTTATGAATCATAATGTAAATATCTGATATGCAGGATGGTCTTAGGCAACCCCTGTGAAAGGGTCGTTCGACTGCCAAAGGGGTCGCAACCCCCAGGTTGAGAACCGCTGCCACAGACGAAGGAAGAAAAAGGCTGTGTTAGATCAGGATATCCTAAGAAGGCAGATAATTCACTTGGAACTTAGAAGAGTTAAATGATAGTGGGCTCTGATCAGAGTAAGAAAAGGAAAGCGAAAATGAATTAAAGGCAAATGAAGGATTAATAAGACAGAGAACAGAGTGGAGTAAGACAAGGACAGAGCAAAGGTTTGGCAGTGTCTAGAGGAAGTGATCCGAGTTAGGAGAACAGCAGTGGAGTCTTGGAAGCCAAGAGAAGAAAGTTCCAAGAAGGAATAAGTAGACAGCAGCATCAAATGTTGCAGCGGGCTCAAATGAGAAGACTTTAAAAGATCACCTGGCCCTGGCCTAGTTCAGTTGGTTAGAGTGTCATCCCTATACACCAAGGTTGTGGGTTCGATCGATCCCCAGTCATTGATATAAGAATCAACCAATGAATGCATAAATAAGTGGAACAACAGATCAATATTTCTCATCTAGATCTATATTCTCTCTCTCTCTCTCTCTCTCTCTCTCTCTCTCCCCCCCCATCCCTCCCTCCCTCCTCTCCCTCTCTAAAAATCCATAAGTAAACAAATAAAATATTCTTTGGATGTGGCAACATGGTGACCTCGCTGAGTCACTTCAGAAAAGTAATCAGAGCAGAATCCAGATTGCAGTGGGCTGAGGAGGGAATTAGAAGTGAGAAAATGGAGCCACTGAGCATAAATGGTAATGGTTGGGAAGGAAAGAGGGGGCGGGGAGGTGGTAGGGGGGCAGTGGGGGACAACAACGCAGAAGCACGTCTTAGATCTTTACTCAAATTCAGCAGGCACAGGCTAGAGGCCAGAAGTAGCTGAAGAAAGAAAGGGGGAGTCCCAGCTTCCTGGGTCAGCTTCTGCTGAATCATGGTTCCTGGGGATTTGTATAAATTATCCATAGTAACAAAACTCTGTGCCCATACCGTTTGCAAGAAGTACGTATGGGGTACAATAATAACAATAGCCACTGTTTACTGAGAGCTTATGTATGCAAAGCTAAGAGCTTTGCATAAATTATCTCATTTAATCCTCACAACAATTCTGTAAGGTAGGCCTTATTTTCTTCAATTTGAAAATGATGCAACCTGAGACGAGAGGGCTTAATTAGCCTGCTTACCGGTTATCCAGTCAAAAAATGGCAACGGCAGGATTCAAAACCAGGCTCATCCTCCTCCAACGCTGGTCCTCCTAACTGCTAACCTGGGGTCTCTCAAGTTGGACTTTATGACTTGCAGGCCTCAGAGTCACCTGGGCAGCATTTGAAAAATGCAAATCCCCAGGTTCCACAAAAGATCTAACTGAATCTATAAAAGCAGAGCCCAGATCTGTACTCCCATCGAGCTCCACAAATGATTCCCCTGCTCACAGAAGTCTTCTTACGTGACATATTTACCTCCTTACTGTTTGAGCTGCCTGTCATCGGTCTTCATCCACACTGGGAGCCTGGACTGCTAGTTTGCGATAAAGTACTGTCTCAGGGCTTACCCTGGACCGGTTGAATGAGGAAGTCCTCCAGGCAATTCTTATCTTCAGAGAAGATTGAAAACCACTGTTCTGTGACTCCTAGTTGAAAGTATCCTTAGCACTACCCTAGGCCAGTGGTCGGCAAACTCATTAGTCAACAGAGCCAAATATCAACAGTACTTCTTCAAAATAGACTCGCCCAGGCCGAAAACTGACTTCTGGGCATGGGCCACGAAGTTTCAATCGCACTGTACACGCGCCCGCACGTGGTATTTTGTGGAAGAGCCACACTCAAGGGGCCAAAGAGCCGCATGTGGCTCGCGAGCCGCAGTTTGCCGACCACGGCCCTAGGCTAATGTAGGTTCTAACTCTTAATCATTCCTCATCTGTGAAATGGATATAAATATGCCTGCCTGATAGAGCCATCATGAAAATTAGTATTCTACCAATTAGGATTAGATTTGCCTGTTTATAACAAAAACAAAGTATCAATGGCTTAAACAAAAGGGCTTATTTATCTCTCAGATTAAAGTATGGAGCTGGGTAATCCAGAGCTAGTATGAGGTCCCTAATAATTAGGGGCTAAGACCCTTGCTACCTATCTGTCCAAGGCTGCAGCCATTTTGTCTATAGACCCGTCATAGGGGAGGGAGAAGGGACCAACCTCAGTAGCTGAGTCAGTTGCCCTTAAGGAGCCTTTCTGGCAGGTCTTCATTTATAGTTCCTGACCAAAACTCAGTCACAGGGCCACACCTACTTGCAAGGAAGGCCGAGAACTAAAATCTTTCAGTTCAGCATGAGGCCTTTGCCACTCCAAATAAAGGAGGTTTCTGTTACTGAACAAGAAAAATAAATAAATATTGGTGTGGCTGCCACAAAAATGTGCTTCTGCAGCCTTCCAACTGCAGGGAGCTGAGGGCCCCAGCTGTTGCGCTTTGAAGTCCATTGGCCACGCCTCCCATGGGCAGCACCCCACCAATGACTGAGTGTGGAGGGGTACAAAGTCAGACCCAGTCAGTCCTGTGAGACAAGGGACTCCTTTGTTAACTAACTTTGGCTCAAGGACTTGCTGATAAAGCGGAACCTTTGTTAGACTGAGTCTTCCTTAAACTGTGAGGCCATCTGGGACACTTGCACCCAACCTCTCCTCTCTCTCTCTCTTTCTCCTGCACTTGGAGTCTGATGGCCTTCCTGGTGTTCTCTAGCTCCTTCCCTTCTTCAGCTCTCTCCCTATTTCCTTTCCCACTGATATTTCCACCCCTACCCCCACCCCCCATAAAATCCTTGCACATTTTCTCCCATCTTGGTAACTGCTTCTCCAAGGACCGGGACTAACAAAATTGGTGAGGCAAGTCAGTCTCTAGCACAGATTCAATAATCCATGCAACACTTGCATAACACAGGGATGGGTATGTAGTAATAAGCACCCAATAAACAGTAGCTGTATGGTGATGATGGTGGTGGTGACGGAGGCGGCGGCGGAGGAGGAGGAGGAGGAGGAGGAGGAGGAGGAGGGTGGTGGGGGGGAGTACAGAGCCAGTCATGGAGAGAGGAGTGTCCAAAAATTGAAGGACACAGGTTCTGAGGCAAATCACTCTGTTTGATTCTCCTTCACCCCCAGAATATTTCTATTACAGTAAAATCTGGTTAAAATCAGCTCCAAAAGCAGTATGAAAGAGAAAAAACAGACTCTAGCTGTCATCACAGGAAAATCGAACTGCCATTACTTAGCATCAGTCATTTCAAGTCATTTTTTTCAACAAAAAGAAAGGGAAAAAATAAAGAAATAGGTCAGGCCGGAGACAAAATTGCACAAAATAAACCCAATGTCCTGAACAACTCTGGTTCTTATATTATAAGAAACAGCCACCGGAAATTACTTCTCATGATGACCTAAGAACACTATTTCCATGAGAAAGTTTTCAGCATGGACGTTAAAGCACATGCAAATCTCTAGAAAAATAATAAAAAGAATTCCAAGGAAAAAACACAGAATGAGGGAAGGCAAAAGGTGGATGTAATCTGTATGATACAAAAGTTCCATGGAACTTAACCAACATTATGTACTTGGTACATGATAGGAGCTTAATGAATTGTGGTCACCCAGATAACTGAATGGCTCTCTCAAGGTCGTACTTCACCATTAGTTCATTAAAGAAAGATTTGTAGAAAGTCTACTATGTGCTAGGCACTGAAGGTGCCACAAGGAACAAGACAGTTGAGGTTGTTCTTAACCTTGCCCTTACCATCCTTTTACAAAGAAATCTCCTTTGTAGACATTTCATGGGGGACCCTCGACATCCATTTTTCCACAGACACACTTTTCCTGAAAAATTTCCACATGCCATTTTTCCTGAATTGGCACCCTCATCTATCAGATTTAAAGCCCAAATATTGCTTCTGAAATATTTTCTTGGTTTCTCAGACCAAGTTGATCCACCCATGTACTTGACGTAACCTTGGATTTCCATTGGCCTCTATATTCATTATCTATTGCTGCATAACAAATTACCCCCAAAACTTAGCAGCTTAAGATAACAAACATTTATTACCTCACAGAGCTAAGGAGTGACTTGGTTGGATGGTCTAGTTCTGGGTCTCTCATAAGGTGTCAGTTGGGGCTATAATTATCTGAAGGCTTGACTGGGCTGGAGGACCTGCTTCTAAGGTGACTCACACAGGACTGACTAGCAGGTTGATGCTGGATGTTGCCAGGAGGCCTCAGTTCTTTGCTATATGAGTCTATCCATCGTTGCTCCTGACATGGCAGCTCGCTTTCTTCAGAGCAAATGATCTGACAGACAGACAGAGACAGACATACCAAGAGAGAAGCTGCAATGTCTTTTATAACCTAATCTCAGAAGGGGCATACCATCACTTCTGTATCCTGTTGGTCACACAGCCCACCTCTTGGGACAATGTGGGAGGGGCTCCAGGCGGGTGTGAAAACCAGGAGCCGGGGTTCATTGGGGTCATCTTGGATACTGGTTACACAGCCTCCAAGGAGAGCTTCCTCTCCCCAAACCCCACCCAAACCCCAGTGGGGACGAGGGTGTGTGCGCAAATTCCTCCGTTTGGAAATACAGTAGTCCCCTTTATCCGTGGTTTCACTTTCTGCAATTTCACGTACTCATGATAACATGGTCCAAAAATATCAAATGGAAAATTCCAGAAATAAGTTTTAAATGGTGTGCCATTCTGAAATATGATGAAATCTTGCGCCACCCCACATGGGACATGAATCATCCCTTTGTCCATTGTATCCGTACTGTATGTACAGTACAATAAGATATTTTGAGAGAGAGACAACATTCACATAACTTTTATGGCAGTATATTGTTATAATTGTTCTACTTTATTATTATTGCTGTTAATCTGACCAATTTATAAATTAAACATTATCATACGTATGCATGTACAGAAAAAAATATAGTACATATAGGGTTTGGTATCTGCAGTTTCAGGCATCCACTAGGGTCTTGGAACATATCCCCCATGGATAAGCAGGAACTACTGTACAAAGGCACACAGCAGTGAATTTACTGTCCTAGAAACCCACTGTTGGAGCCCCATAGAACTATTTCTCTCAATTGTACTTTAGCATCATGCCATAGGCCTTCATAGAAGGACATCATAGAAGCAGCTCCAATAAAGTTACTGGTGTTTGTTTCACTGCTCAGTGTCCTCTTTCTGAAGACACACTGGAAAAAATATCTCTCTGGTCTTGGGATGAGGAAAAGTGTGTTTCTCCTAAATAACTACTTTGTTTTTCCCATGTAAAATCTGGCATTTTATTACCACGCATGTTTCCTTCTTTACTAAGGCTGTCTAGAAGCTCAGAGCCAACCGTATGCTGGCATCCATCTCCTTGAGCTAATGTCATACTAGAGTTATTTCTTCCACTTGTTCCCTATTTTTTCCAATTCCCTCGACTTTTAATCAGTTAATTAATTAATTTACTTGTTTATTGTTAATCCTTACCTGAGGATACTTTTTCCATTGATTTTTAGAGAGAGTGGAAGGGAAAAGGAGAGACAGAGAAAGAAACATCAATGTGAGAGAGACACATTGATTGGATGCCTCCTGCACGTGCCCTGAGCAAAACCAGCTAGGGCCCTCAACTTTCAATTTTAACCATTTGTACATTTTGTGCTTTTATAATTCCTCTCAAAGCTTTTGTGGACTGGAGTATAAATACATAATAAAATGAAAGTTTTTGTCCAAAGACTGATGACTTGCACACATGTGCCATCTAGTGGTGAGAGTGGTACCTGCCAGAATAGAAACCCCCGATTTTTCAGATATGTTTTTGCAGGAAAGTGAAGAGTGGGAGGGCTGGAAGATGAGGCAGACAGGGACCTTTCTGAGACAGGGACCTTTCTTTGAGACTGCTGGGGATTAAAGAGACTCCAGGCAGGGCATAGAAGGTGAATCAATCACTAGAATCCAACATGATTTATTGGAATCTGAACAAGCAGCCAAAAGATCAGTAAAGACCTTGCAAGTGAGGAAGACACTGGCAGTGGAAGAGTTAAGTGAAAGGTGTTTTAAAAAAAAAAACAAAACACAAAAAAAGCCTAACAGTAAAAATAGATCAGATTCAAACAAATGATCACTTGAAAGGTACTTAATGTGTTTTGATTGCAGATGTGACCAGCCATTTTTAAAGCATTTGCATTACCTTAGGAAGAAGCTCAGAGTCTAATGTTTTCGTTTTACTCATGAGAAAACAGGGGCCCAGAGACAGAGCACCTTGTCCAAGGTCATAGAGCCTGTTAGTCACAGGTTCAGGTGACACTGAGACTAGTACTCTTTCCCCAGAACCACACTGCCCCTAATCAAATGTAGCAGATGCTCATCTGGGCTTTCATTTTGCACACGGGGTTTCAAAATAAAAATCCGGTTATCACATAAAAGTGCTGGATCCAGCATGTTTCCAAAGAATTATTACTCACTGGTTTTGCAGCTGTCCCTGGGCACACCCCCAAAGGGTCAGGATGGAGGAGGTGGTTATAAAGCACTGGTTCCAGTAATCTCCATTGAATGGCATAAGCCATTATTTGTCCACAATGAAAAGGAGGGATTCTAGAAGCCAACTGCAGTAGCTGAGGAAGCCCGAGGCTGAGAAAGAGAAAGTAAGTTCATTTATAGCACCTGCTCTGGGCCAGGCTCCAGGCAGGAATGCTGGGGAGGCAAGCTCTGCAATGTACTGGTCATATCCAGGAGCCACATACATTGCATCTGTCTGTGCCCTGGCATGTTTTGGGGCACAGCCTGAGCTATAGCTAAGGTATAGCTTGGATCTGCAGACCCTTGAAGACCTAGCCCAGGGGTCTACAGTCTCAGGGTGAACTGTCTTGAAACAGCCTGTAGTCAGGGACCACTGGGGTGGGGTGGGTGGGGCTACTGTCTAAAGTGGAACTTGAGACATTACCGTATTGAACAGCACAGACATAGAACCGTTTAATCAGCAAGAACATGGGAGAGGGCACGCCAAGCAGAAGTAACAGCACATGGGAAAAAGTCAGGGAGTGGGAGACAGCTGGAAAGCAAGGTAAATCCACTGAAGGTCCTTGAGCACTGGGCTGAGGAGTTTGGCTTATAGGGGACACAAAGGCTCTAAAAAGGAGTCAGGTCATCGTATTTGAGTTTTGAAAAGATTTCTCTATTGCCAGTGTGGGACGGCCTGAAAGAGGCATGACTGGAGAAAAGGAGGCGGGTCTCCATTTGTTCCACCCTCTCCCAGACTCACTGTGCTCCAATCCCAAAGAACACCTCAGCTCCTTGAATAATGTAAGGCCAAATTCTTACCAGCTGCGGGGCCCTTGCACGGGATGTTCCCTCGGTCTGGATCACTCTCTTCTTTGCTGTTACAAAGTTTCTATTTTCTCTGCTTTCAGGTCTCAGGTCAAGCCGTTCTTCCTTTCCTTCATCTCCCAACCTATTTATAGCTCCCTCCGTTATTCTCTCTTGTAGCACCCTGTTTCTTTTTTCTGTTTAGCACAGCTTGAAATTTTATTCTTGTTTGTGTTGTGTAATCAATGTCTGTCTTCCCTATTAGATTATAAATTCCGTGAGGGTGGGGTTGTGTCTGCCCCATTCAAAACCGTGTCCCCAGCATCCAGCACACACAACGCCAGGCATTTAGCAAACCCTCAATAAATACTGGATGGATAAAACTGTTAGGATAGCCAGGGTGTCCGTGGTTTAAAACTAGGGCAGCAGCAGCACACCTGAGAAAAGGCGATTAACACCATACGAAGTGGACAGGACAGGTCTGAGACCATCGGAATTCGTTCCGACTGTACAGAGTTCTGACTTTACAACTGTCGGTATAAGCTGGGCAGGTGGACAACCCTTTATCCACCACACGCTCAGTTTCCTCTCCGTGAAATGAGAACGACGCCACTGCAGCCGGGCAGAACAAATGTCCTCCAGGGCAGACATAAGATTTGGGCTGGGGCGCAGGGTCTTGGTACCTCACTTGAGGCCAATTATGGTGGAGAACACCCGCAAGAACTCCCGACGCTCCCTGCGGGCGGAAGTAACTGCCGGAAGGAAGTCCTGTCATAAAATGGATCCCCCATATGCGCAGCGCCACGGTTCTCTGTACCCTCATAAAGCGTCCGATGAGCAGCAGAGCAAGGGGGCTAACTTAGAGCCGTTGTCTTTTATTTCTTTTTAAAATATTTTCCCCATTTCTCAGCAGGTCTCTTTAAAAACTGCTTCATTGAAATCTAAAGAATTCTCGGGACTGTAGGGTAGAAGGGAGATTCCAGCATGGGATAAGCAAGAGGTAGGTGGGTAGATGCTCCTGCGCAGCGCCACCTGTTCCAGTGGAGAAGCCAAGGCCCTCCTCTTCCCCACCGATCCTGCTCCACCCGCGACCCCCAGAGCCGGAGAAACGCGAGCGCCAGCTGGACCGGAGCCCTGCATGTTCCTACATTTCCCACAGGTCTCTGCGCAAAGGCAGGAGCCGAGCCGCTCTCCCCGCCTCAAGAGACGCTTTAATCCTCACTAGCCAGTCATATTCCACAGGGCAGGGCTGGGAGAGGTGGAGGGGAGGGGAGGCGGGGGCGCAAACCCGACACCATCCCCATCTAATCAATCTGGAGGAAATAAGCGCCGCAAGGCCATCTGGGAAATGTAGTTTCCAAGAAGACTTCTGGGAAACAGAGGACAGCCTCACCAGGTTCGGTCACGTGGTCTGTGCCGTGCGCTGTCCTGGCGTCTTGCCTTTACTTGTGCTGCGGTAGGAGGGGTTCCCCGCAATGAGGAGTAGCTGCTGCCACTTTCTGGATTCGACTTCTGGACTGGCCCGCTTGGCCCCTGAGCGTCCCTGTTGGCCAGCGCTGACCGTATATGTGCATGTACGTATGGCTTCTATGGCCTCAAGTTAACGTGCTATTATAGGTCTTCATCATGCTCTTCCTCTGCCTTGGCCAGTGCAGCGGCCAAATCACCCCAGTTGCTTCGAAGCTTTACTAAATAAATGTAGAGCAAAGCCATTAATCAATTATTGAGTTGCCTCATCTTTGGGGACCTTTTCCCACTACTGTTCACACTCCACCACCTTGCCCTCACCCATGTCTCCTTAGAAACTTGAGTCCGGGGCGGGACCTTTCTCACTATCAGCCCCTCCTAGTTTCATTTATTTCCCTACCCAGCCTGGTTCCTAAGAATCCTGTCCTACCTCACAGTCTTCTGAAACAACCCCAAACCGTAGGTAAACACAGTTACTTTCTTTGGATTTACTAGGTGCTCCTGGAGGTTGGTGCCACTAGAATCAAAGGCTCAGGAGGATAATAAATAGAGGCAGGGAGTCTGCTGCCCAGGCCTCTGGAAGGCTTTGGAAGGGCTATCTTCGTTGCCTTATACCCCATGTTTGTCCTATAAGAGCATGAGAATGAAATGTAGAGCAAAGCAAAATATTAGTTATGAGAATATCCTCAAATGGCATGTTGGTAATAAAGTAGAGAGTCCTGTAAAGAATGGAATAGAAATGTAAAGTAACATATAAACAATGAAATGAGAAATAGCAAGAAAGCATAGCAACGATGCTAAATTGGTATACGTTAAATGAGCCCAGCGAGCAAATGACAAAATCCTTTAAAAAGCATTATGCTGGAAAGAGATTGGATGTTTCTGATGGAAAGCCAGGCATAGGCAATGTTTTGTTAGCTTTACAGAAAGATTAAAAGGTTATAGACAAAAAAAAAAAAAAAAACATTTTAGAAGAAAATATAAGGTTTTGCCCAGGTTTCCCCATACTATCGGTATTTTTTATAATATGTCCTAATATCAGGAGACTTTTAGGGTCACATGCAAACACACTTCCTAGATGAATCTCATGAATAAGAGATTGAGTCTTTTGAAGAAGGCAGGAACAAAGAAATGGTTTGACCAACAACTTAGGTAAAATCTCACACCTCTACCCCAATCTGGGTTTTTAGTTAAACACAGGCTCGGTGTAAGCCAAGAACATAATGAAGTTTCAGAAAATTAGGTTGTTTTAATAAACTAAAAGCATTCTATCTAAGGAAGGTCTAATACCCACATGCAACTAGTAATCAGGTTGGATTGTCACAGTGTTAGAAGAACATTGCAAACAAAGAATAATAAAAAGAAGATATACAGGATGGTGAGGGGTATTGAAAAAATGACAAATTAAGCAAATTTGAGATAAACTAGGACAGGAAAGAACAGGAAGAGGAAGTGGGATTTATGGCATTTGCTTAACTATAAAATCTGATAGGCAACCATGTGGAAGAACAATATGATTTTTTTCTATTGATCTTCAAAGAGCAAAGAGAACCAATGGGTAGAATCATAACAAGCAACTTTTAATTTTTTAAAATATATTTTTATTGATTTCAGAGAAGAAAAGAGAGGGAGAGATAGAAACATCAATTATGAGAGAGAATCATTGATGAGCTGCCTCCTGCACACCCCATCCTGGGGATTGAGCCCACAACCTGGGCATGTGCCCTTGACTAAAATTGAACGCAGAAGCCTTCAGTCTGCAAGCCAACATTCTATCCACTGAGCCAAACCAGATAGGGCACAAGCAACTTTTAGAGTGCTTATTATGATCCAGGCACTTCACATATATCATCTAATTTAATAATCATGGCAAACTATGAGTTATATAGAAATATTATCCAATTTTCAACATGAGTAAATACAAAGTTCAGTCATTTTCTTGAGGTCATACAGCTAAGAGGTGGCACAGATAGTATTTTAGATCTTTCTGAAAGGCAAGGGCAACTGTTCCTCCTATTATAGCCTGTTGCCTTCTGGATCAATGGTACCTCAAACTTTACTGTGTAGGAGATTTGCATCTTTAATATTTGAGACACTTAGAACTATGTGTAACAGTTTTTTTATTTATTTTATTTTTTCCATCACCATTTATCCACTCTATGCCTTCTTCCACCTCTACCCTCTACCACACAATAACCACACTGTTATCCATAAGTTCTCTTCTTCTTCTTTTTTTTTTTTGCTCAATCCCTCCATCCATCTCAAACAACCCTTGCCAGAGCTATCTGCCTGCTCTGTATCTATGAGTCTGTCTCAATTTTATTAGTTCATTAGATTCCACAAATAAGTGAAATCATATGGTATTTATCTTTCTCAGACTGGCTTATTTCACTTAGCATAATATTCTCCATGTCCGTCCATGCTGTCACAAAGAGTAATATTTTCTCCCTTTTTACAGCAGAGTAGTATTCCATTGTATAAATGTACCACAACTTTTTTTTATCCACTCATCTACTGATGGACACTTAGGATGTTTCCAAATCGTGGCTATTATAAATAAGGCTGCAATGAACATAGGGAAATATATATTTTTTTGAATTAGTGATTTGAGTTTCTTCAGATAAATTCCAGAAGTGGAATTACTGGGTTGTAAAGCAGTTCCATTTATAATTTTTTGATATAACTCCATACTACTTTCCACAGTAGATGAGGGTTCCTTTTTCTCCACATCCTCACCAACACTTCTTATTTGTTTATTTATTGATGATAACCATTCTGACAGGTGTGAAGTGATATCTCATTGTGGTTTAAATTTGCATTTCTCTGATGATTAGTGACACTGAAAGTCTTTTCATATGTCTATTGGCAAACTGTTATGTCCTCCTTGGAAAAGTGTCTATTCAGGTCTTTTGCTCATTTTTTAATTGGATCATTTGTTTTCTTGGTATTGAGTTTTATAAATTATTTATAAATTTTGGATATTAAACTCTTGTCAGATATATCACTGGTGAATAAATCCATGACTTTATAGTCAATATTTGACAAAAGAGGCAAAAACATACAATGGAGTAACTATAGTGTATTCAATAAATGGCTTTGGTAAATTGGACAGATACATGCCAAAAGAAAAATAAAGAAAGAGAGAAACTAGACCAACTTCTTACATCACACAAAAGAATAAACTCAAAATGTATTAAAAACTTAAATGTAAAACTCATTACCATAAAATTTCTACAAGAAAACATACTAAAATCTCAGACATTTTTTTGGCAATATTTTTTCTGATATATCTCCTCTGGCAAGGGAAACAAAAGAAAAAATAGACAAATGGGACTACATAAAACTAAAGAGTTTTTGCACAGCAAAGGAAACTATCAACAAAATGAAAAGACAACCCACTGAATGGGAGAACATGTTTGCCCATATAACAGCTTTTTAAAATAATGAACTCACCAGAGTGGAAAGTGTTCAACAGAGGTCAGCATCTGAACAAGATACAGTAGAGAGAACTCTTGGATTGGATCATGGTTGTTATTAGGCCAATGAATATAAAGTATGCTCTGGAAAACTATAAGAATTCTATGAATCCTCCTGGAGACTGCCACGATCTTAGTAAGACAATAGGGCTATGGGATGTCCTTACCTACTCTTTTCTCAATCAGGGCTATTCTAGTTTCATTTCAAGCCTACAATTACTGAGTATTTACTGAATATTTACTATGCACTAGGCACTGTTTTACAATTTTTCACATGTATTAATTCTTTTAATCTTGACAATAGCACTTTTAAGTAGATATCATTATTTCCCCTATTTTAAAGATGGCTAAAAAACACCATAAAACAAACAAACCAACAAAAACAAAACAAAACAAAAAATCTGAGGCATGGAGAAGTAAAGGACCATGTCAAACAAGATCATATAAGTTGGGTAAACAGTAGATCTGGGATTTGAACCCAGACTGTCTGGTATTGGTGTCGGTATTCCTTTAAGAAATGTGCCAACCAGCTTATCTATTTAATTAGAAACAATAAATTTCTTTGAAAGAATTTTTATAAACAAAGGTTGCCATAGATTTTTTAAAAATTACTATAATTATATCCTCTGGAGGTTTACGTAGAATTCTTAAATTCTGTAATTTCAAGGTTCATTGGTTCAATAACAGTCCTCGAGGTTGAGCCTGTGACTTTTTCTACCCAACTATGACCTTTGCTACAATCTGACTGTAGACTTGAATCTTTCCTTTGGCTTTGCCAAGCCATGTCTTTCTGGGTTTGATCTTGGCTGTATCTGAAAACTAGAAAGTTGCAGCCTCAATGGGTCTCCTGTTTCCAGACTTTACTCCCTATCTCACAGGTCTTGGCTCTAAGCCATGACATTTCTATACACTAAAGACAGCTGATCCATTGGCCCCACTCAACTTGAGCACAAACTGGGATTAAGGTTAGTTGGACACAGCTGGTGAACTGCTGGAGTATGTGAGCCTGAGGAGCCTCCTGGGGGAGAACTTGTCCACAGGAAAGAAGGAGCTAGATGGAAAATGATGAGCCTGAACCAGTGAGAAAAGTCCATAAGACATCTGGACTCCATTGGCATCATGCCCCCCTCCCCTGCCCTGCAGAGTTTGGAGACTCTGGTAAAGCTCAAAAAATAAAAGTTGTTCTCTCTACCCAAGTTCTAATCCATTTGAGGAAAATGACAACCATTAAAAAACCAAAGATGGTCTTTGTAAAAAAACAGTTTAAGTAGGAAGATATAACC